GTCATTTTTGTTATTTCGTGAACCCCTCGCCTCGCTAAATCCACCTAGAGGGTGGTTGGAGGCCGGGATGAGCCCCGTGCTTAGGGGTAGTTGGGTTGATCTGGGCGTCAGCTGGGCGGGGCGTCGGTAAAGGGGGCCGAAGCGCTCAATGGGGTCCGCCCCCCGTCGGGGTGGCGGGACGGGAGAGCCCGTAGTCATGCAAGGGGGCCGGCCCGCGAAAGACCAAAACAGGGGGGCACCCTCGCTGTCCCGTTTTTCTTTTTTTTTGGGGGGGGGGGAGGGGAAGTGAGGGGATGATGAAAACGGATGAAAACTGAAAGATGCACGATATTTTCTTCCTTTCCCCTTTGCTCAATGAAGCATAAGGAAAAGGTCTCAGTCAGTTTTTTTTTTCTCTGCTATATATTTTTGCTATTTTCCTTTTAAATCCTTCCTTCCTTTTCCCGCTTCCCATCGTCGTTCGCATCTTTTCCCCCGGGACATAATGAAAAAAAAAAAAGGACAAAAGTAATTCGGCAGGGTTGGGGGTTGGTTGGAGACGGCGACTGGGTTTCAGATCTCAAACACGCCTTTGCACTAAGGAGTTAAGTAAAATAGACAAACACATCAGCACGTCAAAGGAAGAGAGAGGGAGAGAAACGGAGCATAAACACATTTCAAGACTTAAACTAGTTTGCATAGAAGTTAGACTTAAGAGCGGGGAGCTTCCTTGGCATCCATGGCAACCTCCTCGCCCATGGCAGTCAAGACGACGACGTCTGTAGTATTCACTCATTAACAGTTTTATCAAAGGGCAAAAGCGGGGGAGGCGAGGGGAAGTAAATAAACATACTGGTATCCTTCTCATCGGTACGGAAGAGCTTCACGATCTTATCACCAACATCACCTTCAGGCAATCTGACGTCGTCCTTGAGAGTGCCGTCATCGGACATGAGGGACAGGAAGCCATCGTCGGTGATGTCCAGCTATACATAATTATATAATTAGCATACACGCTTCCCCATACAAGTACAGAGATATGGGTATATATCATACCAATTGATATTCCTTGCGAGACACATTGGGAACCTCCATGTTGTGGGTGGAAGGGCATAGATCCTCGAGCTTCTTGGAGGTGAAGATATCGATGGCGACCAGGTGGACTTTTGCGTGGCCGTGCTTGCCAGTCTTGGAGGTGGACATCTCGACGATCTTGCAAGGTCGGTTCTTGATGACAACGAAGCCGTTCTTCCTCAGGGCAGAGCACTGCATCGGATAGGTGGCTGAGGCACCGGCGTCGGCGCTCTCAAAGGTGTGTTCATGCTATTGAGACGGGGTTGGTGGTGGTTAGTTTAGATGTTATTACAGCTGTTTATTGTTCATTGAGCGATTGGGGTATTTTGAACGACGATTCAAACTAATATGGATTCTATCAATTGATTTCTCAAAAGTAAAGATAAATGAAGATGTGTTGCCTTGTAATTGCAAAAGAATGATTTGCCAGGGCCTTTTTTATGAGCATTTTGAAGATGCGGGGGAGGAGTGGTAAGTAAATAAGGGAAGGGGAAAAAAATAAAATTCGGCGGGTTGACAAGAGGCGGGGAGGAGACCATACCTGCGCATCATCGGCCATGGTGGATGAGATGGGAATGGTAATGGGAGTGGATTACAGATGAGAAGAAGGCCGACAAGCAGGAGAACAGAGAGCTGGCAGACGAGAGCCGTGAAGCGGGAAGCAAAGATGAGCAGAAGGAGAGAAGCGAAGACGCAACTGGAAAGTGGAAAGTGGAAAGTGGGCTGCTGCTTATGTAAGTGGAGGGGCGGAGGGGAATTCGCACTAGGCCGCTTCGGGACTGGCCGCACGTGCTTGCGCCTGCCAAGCCATGTGCACTTGTGGTCTCTGTCGCTGCACGAACATATCTTCCAGAGCCTCATGCTTACCGCTTCGGGACATCCTCAAGTACATGTCTAAATACGTCCATCCACATGTTCTCCTGAAATCATTATCCTCGTTAGAATGCTCGCGAGCTAGGCGGTGACTACTAAATGCTATGCGGCTGCCGCCGCAGCTGTCTCCGGCCGCTGTCCCTGCCTAGCCCATCATGTGGCTGGATCGTTTCTCGGCCCATCCCTCCTCCGCTTCTGGTGCTTCTACTCCCGGCCCTCGTGGTTACTCTCCCGCCCGCCGCCCCCAGCACCAGCAGCACCTCGGCGCTGCTACCCAGCAAAGTCGCCCGGCCTTCAGCCCTCGCTCCTCCTCCCTTTCCGTCTCCCTGACGACTACTCCTAATGCGACCTCGACTTCTCTCCCCAATACCCTGCGCCAGGCAAGCGGCTCCACCTTCCATCGACAGAACGGCTCGAAGCCGGACCAGCGTCCTACGGGTTCTACCGCTGTAGATCCACTCGAAGTGCTGTATGGTATCATCGGGAAACGTCCCGGAACAGAGGCAGATTCAGACACGCCAACCATCGTGCATGCGACAGGAACTGTCGAGGCTACTGACAAGCCGGAATGCCTAGTTGAGGATATCGATTTTGGGGAGTTGAGTCTGGAAGAATTCGCCCAGCAAAAGGAGGAGAGGGAGGAAGGGAAATTGAAACGACGTGTTGATGTTCAGACTATAGAGCAGTGTATGCCATCGAAGCATTGGGTTGACATCTAGTGGTTCGTTGACTAATACATTGTGCAGATGAAAGGGGAAAGGGATAGGTTTTCAGGACCTGCACAGTGCAATTAACGTAGGTCCAGCCTCCCTCGATTTCCTTAAAAGAATGAGAAAACCAAAATAATAAAAATAAGGTCTGTGGTTATATTTAATACGTCTTCTGTTTAGGGTTGCGACGACGTTTTGAAATCAGTCGAATCCTACCTGTCCAGATTCCGGACGGACCTTGGAGTAGTCTCTGTGGAAATTGAGTCGCTACAATCTCGGTCCGCCCAGCTGAATTCCCAACACGAGAATAGACGCAACCTAGAGCGGTTACTGGGCCCAGCCGTCGAAGATGTCAGCATATCACCGAAAGTTGTGCATCTGATATCGGAGGGACCCATCAACCAAGAATGGGTGAAAGCTCTAAATGAAGTCGAAACCAGATCGGCCAATATCGAAGCAAACATGTCTACTGCCAGTAATGTCAGGGCCGTCGAGGATATTAAGCCATTATTATCTGATCTGAAAGCGAAGGTGATCCTTATTTCAATATTCCAAATAAGGATGCACTATCTAACGTGATTTTTGTTAAAGGCCATCGAAAGAATCCGAGACTATCTAGTCGCGCAGATAAAAGCCATTCGGTCACCCAACATCAACGCACAGATTATCCAGCAGCAATCCCTGATAAAATATAAAGATTTATACGGCTTCCTCTCTAGAAACCACTCCGCTCTCACAGAAGAAATTATCCAAGCCTATATCAACACAATGAGATGGTATTACCTATCCAACTTCACCCGCTACCATCAAGCGTTGGAGAAACTTAAAGTACATTCTGCGGAGCGCAATGATTTACTGGGTGGTGACCCGAGCGCCCAAAAAGCATGTATGTAACACCTCCCCGATCGCTTTATTTTGAAAGATATACGTAGCGTGAAACTATAATTTTGCCCGCAGCAAATATATTCCCCAGCGGCCGAAACCCAACGTACGACCCGTTTGCCCTCGGCCGACGCATGGATATTTTAAAGTCCTCCCACACCGCTCTCCCTTCTTACCTAGCGGAGGAAAACTCCAGCCATGCAACCACTACAAACCCAAATGCAAAAGTCAACCCCAAAACCCAACCGTTAATCCACGGTCTAGAAATCCCCTTCCGAAACTTCAACCTAGCCCTAATCGACAACATTTCTGCCGAATATTCCTTCGTAGCCGAAATGTTCGTCACAAAGACGCAATCTCTACGCACCAGCTCCCGGCGCGTAATCGAGATGTTCGAACCCGTCTTCGCCCTCGGCCATAGCCTCACAAAACACCTAATTGACTCATCGACTGATTGTCTAGGCATCTTACTCTGCGTCCGCCTAAATCAGCATTTCGCCTTTGAGTTGCAACGACGCAAAGTCCCCGTCGCCAGACAACTATATCATGGAGTGACATGCTCTCCTGGCCCCCGTTTCCAGATGGTAATGGATCTGCACAACGGAATCAATCCAACGCATCGCCGGGAAATACTTCTGGATACATCGGCCGCTATTCTCTCCCTCTCAGACACCAGCAACCCAAATACATCTCCCCCGCTTTCTCATCATCATCAGCCCCGCATTTCCTCACCCAGCGCTTCGGCCAGTTCCTACAGGGCATACTAGCGCTGAGCAGTGAGGCAGGCGACGATGAACCTGTCTCGAATAGCCTAGCGCGGTTACGGGTAGAGTTTGATGCGTTGTTGGTGAAGTTGGCGAAGGCAGCAAATGGCGCTGATGCGAGGGGCCGGGAAAGGTTTTTGTGGAGTAATTATTCGTTGATTGGGACGATTATTAGCGATACGCGGGGGAGGTTGGCGGAGGAGGTGAAGGAGGTGAGTTTCACGTTTCTTGTTCATTTTCTTGGGGGGTTGTTAATAAATTGTGTCCGTTATATTGCTAACGGCTTTGGAAAACAGCATTATACTCAGTTGATCAAGAATTCGGCGGGCAGACGGTGACCGGGAGGGGAGATGATGGAAGATCTGATTATGTACATGTAGTTTTCGAGTCTGGAAAGCACGACTAGGGTATTTCAATGGCGCTGTTGGTTTTGGATTTTTTTTTTGCCTAACCATCCTTTCCCCGTGCTGTATATCCCATGCTAAATATGGGATTTGGTGCCCATTTTACCTATGTACCTTGTCCCCTGATTCATTGATATTCTGCTTTACTGTATATCTAAAGGCTGCTTCTTTTATTTTATCTCCGACGTTTTGTTCTTGAATCGTTCTGCGGTATGCTAGGCCCACTGGAGAATTAGCTCCAGAAGGAATAGGAAATAGATATAGATGGCTACGGATACATAATAGATCATTGGTTGAGCTTGTTCTTTCGCTCCTTTCTTCTCTGTCTTCAATTGAAGGATTGAAGGTCTCTCAAGTGTGTGAAACTGGAGAAACTGCCGATGCCGAAAACTAAACCCGATTGGGCTGGGCGCATTGCCGAATTTCTCGGCTCTTCTTCGGGCATCGAGTTATCAATTATCAATGCACATCTCGTCGAGTGACAGAAATTCCCCTCCACCTTCTCGCTTCTGTGCAAAAGAAGGAGGTTTCTGCGAGTATCTGGAGTTCGATTTGATTCTTTTTTGTTTGCCCCATCTCTTTATCCCTGGTCTCTGGCAGCGACAACCACGATCACCACCTGCGTTGGTTCCGTCTAACCTCAATGCTTTCTTGCCCACCGGCACGGATACGGTCAACAACAATCAGATATATCCGCAGAAATCAAAGGAGGCAAGAAAGGCTATTTTCGGCAAGCACAAATACCAATGTCGATTTTACACACGCGGTAAGTACAAGGTGCAGGTCTCCCCATACCCTCCTGAATATCCATTATAATCCACATCAACAACACACACCCCTTCCCCATGCCCACTCCCATCCCATCTAACCCAAACATCCACAAAACCAGATAATCGGTGGCGGCATCGTTGGCCTCTCCATCGCTCGCCACCTCTCCCTCACCCGCGCAAACACCACCACCATCCTGCTCGAACGCCACCCTGCCGTCGGCACAGAAACAACCAGCCGCAACTCCGAAGTCATCCACGCAGGCCTCTACTACCCACCCTCCTCGCTGAAGACCCGACTCTGCATCCGCGGCAAACACCTCCTCTACGACCTCTGCGCCTCCCCCGCCCACAACATCCCCCACCGCCGCACCGGGAAATGGATCCTGGCGCAGGATGCGGAGCAGCTGGACCGCCTACAGAGCATGCACGAGCATGCGGCGCGCCTGGGGGTGCCTACGCGGTTTTTGGCCAGGGGGGAGATGGCCCGGCGAGAGCCGGATGTAAGGGCGCGGGCGGGGGTGTTGGAGAGCCCCAGCACAGGGATTGTGGATAGCCATGCGCTGATGGCGTGTTTGCATGCTGAGTTTGAGGGGGCCGGCGGTGACGTTGCGCTTTGGACGGCTGTGAGTCGGATCGAGAAGGTGGGGGTGGGCGGGGGGTATAGGATCTATACGCGCTCTGCTGGGACGGGGCGAGAGGCAAGAGACAGTGCGAGGGGAGAGGAAGGAGAGAGGGATGAGGATGAAGCGATGATTACGGCGGAGGCGCTTATCAATGCCGCCGGTCACAACGCTTGCGCTATTTCGAATATGCTCCTGCCATCTGACCGACACGTCCAGCCAGCATACGCAAAGGGAACATATTTCTCCTACTCCGCATCCAGCCCCAAGCCGCGCACCCTGCTTTACCCGGCTCCCAAACCAGGGCTGGGCGGATTGGGCACGCATCTCACGCTAGATATGACGGGCCAAGTACGTTTCGGTCCGGATGTGGAGTGGGTTGATGGGCCAGAGGATCTGGTGCCGCGCGTGGGGAGGCTCGAGGAGGCCGTAAGGGAAATTCAGGAATATTTGCCTGGTGTGCGGCCAGAGGCGATTGGGTTGGATTATTGTGGGGTTAGGCCGAAGTTAGCTGCGAAGGAGGGTGAGGATAGGGGCGCGTTTAGGGATTTTGTGATTAGGGAAGAGGAATGTTTTGAGGGGTTTGTGAATTTATTGGGGATTGAGAGTCCTGGGCTGACGAGTGCGCTGGCGATTGGGGAGATGGTTGAGGAGTTGCTATATGGGTAGGTCGGGTGGGTGAAAATATGTTTGAGGATAGGGGTAGGAGGGTATGGGAGAGTTTGACTTGTTGGTTTCGGGGGTGGGACGACATATTACAGACGGAGATATACATTTAGATACCCTATTTGAATTTCGTATAGAATGACTTAGTCGAAAGTAGAAGTTGTGTATGATGGAGCCTTGACTATATTCCCAACGCAGACGGGTCAAGTTCTTCCGTTCATTCGTTCAGCCAAATTTCAACAACAGAATATGCATACCATGCGACACTCTGCAATCATATTCCCGGATCCAATCCACACGAGTGCTATACCTATAGGCGTGTAGTAGCATCAGAGGGGGGGGATTGGGATGAGTACATTGTTCGAACTAACTCAGTAACTGCAAGCGCCATTGTGTCAGATATTTCATTCAGCTCATCACATAAGAAGGCATTTCACCACCTACCACTCTTCAAATCACGATGTGCCGGATCTCGTAACGCACGAACTGCAATAGCCTCCTCCTCGCCAGGTCCGACAGAACATAAAAAAAGGGGGGGGGAGGGGGAAGAAATCCATACGTCAACCAACCCAGTCACCAATCCCAGCTTCAAAACCAACCCCTCCACTGCCTCCGCCACCAAAAGCGCATCCCTCGCTACATCTCCAGTCCCTCTCAACCCAGGAATATAGGCAACCGCCCTCGCAATCTGTGCTGCCTCCCCCGCTTCCCCAATTCCCCGCCCCTCACCACCCGCCCCCTCCCTCGCCTTTTCCGCCATAAACCTGATCACCTTCCCCAAACTAATACACGACGTGATCCCATGTGGAATGCCGTAGGTCGACCCAATAGCATGGCCAATCGCATGGCTAATGCCCAGAGCGCCAGAGAACTGGAAGGGAAAGAGGGCCGCGTAGCTGCCGAGGAAAAGGCGCTGGCGGATGTCTGCATCTTGGGGAGTGGCGAGGCACTGAGGGAGGAGGGTGAAGAGGTCAGTGAGGGCGGAGAGGGCTAAGCGCTTCGTTGGGACTTCAGGGTCGGAAGGAAGGGTTGTAGAGGAGTTCGAGGGCATGGTCGAGAGCACGGATCTGTGAGATGGATTAGCACATAATGTTGGAAGAAAAGCGGAGATGGAAGGGGGGTGAACGTGCGGCACTACTTAGCCATAGTCGTAGGGGTGTATGGAGTGCGATGTCCCCGTCGTAGAGCACCGCTATATTTGTGATGCCTCTCAGCGTAATGATTCCTGAAGGGGGAATTCCCTCCCAACTCTTCCTCCCACCCAAAAGGACATGAACATAGAAGTCCCTAATATGAAAAGACATTTAACTAACCCTTCGGCACTAACTCCCTATCTGCAACAACCGCCACCTTATTCCCATCTGCATCGGTAAACCCCGCATTCTTCGTGGTCTCTGCCACGCTTAGTGTGGTCGGCACTGCAATGCTCATTGTGAAGTGTCCCACTTTTCTCACCCTGCAATCAGAATGACAGCTTTCAAGAATTTATCTGTAATCATTAATATGATGTCACAATCATCACTTACAGGTAATTCTCTAATGAAATCGATTGAGAGAACCTCAAATGATTCTTTTGAGAATGAAATAAAGTGTGATTTCCCTCACTGAGAGTGATTCAGTGGCTTAGACAGTTGGCAATTTGAGCAATGTGAGATGCAATTGAGGATTTGTCTATGAGTATGAGGTAAGAAGAATGTATGTATGTATGTATAGGTTTAACGTCCCGGAGAAAACACGGGCAGCGCCCGTGTTTCAGAAGCCTCCCGAAGGGCATGGAGACGTGCTACGCTGGAGAGATTTCTATGTACACATAGAGAGAGAGAAAACAGAATCCAGGTGCCAACTCTTGAGAAGACTCAGCTCATTGCAAAGGATTTTCCTGAGCTGCACATCCACTTCTGGCCCGACGTATGGCCATTCATGGTGGAGGTAAGAAGAAGGATTGGTGAATAATGTCTTTCATTCAATAAAGCTCAAAATGTCCGGCTGTGTCATGACACAAGCAAATAAGACTTTCAGCTAGAGTTTGCATGATGTAGAGATGATTATCAGTAAAAAACAAGAAATCATTATGAAGTATAAATAAATGATATTCTCCATCTCACATCATCTTATAATAGACCTTTCTCAAGACTGAATCAGCCAGCAGATCCTTACACAATTGATTTTTAATATTGTTGAAGAGAGTTACACTCACATTGAATATAGCAGCAACAAACTCATCCATGATTTTTTCCATCAGTTGAGTGAGCGCCTGGTGTATTTAATTTTGATCATCTCAGAGGATCTCCTCAAAATCATTTTTGAAACTGTATAATTGAAAAAAAGTATCAACATTATTGTGAGAAACACCTTTGTGATAGCGGATTTACATGTGTGAAAGATACATGTTAAAGGTCAAAGCTCAATTCACTAACCAATTACTCTGATGACCTGTTACGGGCGATTGAAGAGTGGATATAAGTGCAATGTGATTGATCACAATGATGAATTCACTGTCAAGGTATTGAAGAAACTCCTTCAGCACTCACATTAATTTCAAACACTTTAATTCAATTGCTCAATACTGTTTCTCTGCTGAGTTTAACTGCTGTGATAAAAACAAAATGAGTTTCTTGATTCCATCGGCGCTCATCTGATGTAGAGTGATTTCTATTCCACACTGTTTGCTGAAATCCACATATACAAAGAACAGTCACTTGAAATCAGAGTATGCTCTTGTGAGAGTGTTTATCAAAGCTTGTTTGATTGCTTCAAAAGAACACTGAGCTTTTTTAAATAAAGTTTGAAATTGTGAAAATTCTTCAAATTCTGTTAATTTGATCTTTATAATATATGAAGCTCTTTTTTAATTTATTTAAAAATTGTTGCATAACATTCTGATTTTAAAAACTTCTAACATTTCTATTTTATTTGTATAGAAATTTATAAAATTGTGATAATAATTGAAGAAACTGATGATCTCTTCTAACTCTTTAAGAGTTATAGAGAAGATTAGATTCACAATAGCAGTCATCTTCTTTTTTTAAATAAATATATTTAATCAGCTGGTATGATGATTTAGTAAATGTATAAAAAAATAGATGAAATGATATTTAATTAAAAACATCATTATTTTGAATATTTTAACAGCTGTGAATACTTTCTGCATGTGATGAAGATGATTGTCTAATAAATGTGAGTAGATAATGATGTTGTTGATATAGATTAATATGAATCATTATAAAAATTTCATTAAAATTTTTTTCATACATTGCTGAAAGAATCTGAGTGAGGTTGTCAACCTCATTATAATGATGATAAAACACTTGAGATCTTGATACAATGTGATAAAGATGATTTTAAAGCAGTCATCATTTTTTATAAGCTGTTGAAAATGTAACAGACGTATATCGATTAATAATTTAGCACTATTCTAAATATAGATTATGAATTGATTAAAAAAAGAAAGAGAAAAAAGATCAGAAGAATAGATTATACGAAGAGCCGTTTTTATAAAAAACAGATTAAAATGGAAAGAATATTAAAAGCTGTCTCATAGTGAAGCATGCAGTGAAAAAACATTGAGAGTTACACAGAAGAATTGTTAGAACTACATAAACGTAAAATGTGAGGCAAAAAAAATTACATGAAAAAAATTGTTAGAGACTATATGAGCACAAAGCACAATAATGAGAATGAATAGATTCAGACAGAAGAGAAGTTGATTGCGTAAATTAATTATTAATAAATGGTAATCTGTTATAAAAAAAAGTTTTAATAAATATTTATTGATGAGAATACTGTGAAATCTTCTAACAATTGTAGCACATTTTATTGTGTTGATAAAAGATATGCATTCAAAAGTAATTGTAAGTTGATCTTTCACAAATTCACAATTACACATAGCTTTTTTTTATATCAGATCACAAATGCAGAGAAAGTGATAGTTATTATTATTATCATTTTTCTATTATACTCATATGCAAGCAGTGCTTATGACTAGTCCTTGTGTAATATTAAATACAGGCAAGAGTTGGTTATACAGAAGGAATGCTTAGTGTTGAATGATATCAAGAATATAACAAATACATAGAAAAATTAATGAAAGACAGAATTTGATACTTGTGATACAGATTTCCAACTTAGAAACAATAAACTAAATCAGGTAATAAGTTCATTCCTTGATCCTAAGGGTAATAAGTGTGTTTAAATACATTTGAGTCCTCATACAAATTATCTTGCTCATTCTGCTCACTTGCTCACTTTGCTCACCGGTCATCATGGTGAGCACGGTGATCAGGGTGAGCAGTCACGTGACCTGCAGCTTCACTTCGGACAAGGGTTGTTCCGTCACTGCGTCCCTTCGGTTCTTATCCAATAAGCCCCGAATCGTGCCGCAGGTTTATAACAATTTTCTTTGAAGAATAAGAACTGAACCTTTTGATCTTCAAGTTATCAGAATCAAGAACCATGACCTCATATAAAAACAAGATGAACTACAAACACCTCTTCATGAGTGAGAATTGAAGTCTCATTGAAAATAATGCTGAGCTTTGTAACTTCCTTCAGCAGCAATTCTTGCAAATAATGATGCTTCAATAACAATTGAATCATTTGAGTATGAATACACCAGAAACTGTGCAAGTGTCAATGCCCTTTATATACAAAAGAAAAGAATGCCTCTCTCTTCTCAACAAGTTTGCAGAAAAACTCTCAATCTATCTAATTTGAAAATAAAAAATAAAAGTCAAATTTGAAGAGAATGAGTTTGTGATAAATCCTCTGCTTTCACAAGTTTGCTATATTCATTGTCAGTTAGAAGAAGATGCTTTAGCAAAGTTTCAACTCTGAATCAAATTATAAATGCATAAAATATATATCTCTGAAGAAGTTTTCTATCAATTAGATGTTCTATTTTTGAATTCTACACTGCAAATGCATGCAATGCAGTGGCTGAACATTATATTTATCATTGCATTAATTATATCAACCACCTTTGCAAACATCATGAATTGAATCTCTCATGTGAATGCAGAATAATCAAGAATATCTGATCTTTTCAAATGAAAAGTTACTGACTGAATTATCTGA